CGTTTGCATCACTGGTTAAAATCGCGCGCGTAGACGAATAGCGCCTGCATCGCTGCTATAAGTCGCCGTGTGTAATCCTCTAAGACATATGCTGAACTATAAACCCATTTAATATTTTCACCACTGTATTGTATTGTTCGTTCTTCGGGTCAAATAAAGATGATTATATTTAAGTTAATATAATCAACAAATACATAAATATAAAAAAATATCGCAACATTATGTAATTTAATTTTAGCATATTAGAATTTACCCTGTGGCAACATTTTCTTTCTCATTCCTGTGACCACGCGGAATAAACATGGCGATTTGAAATAGAATTTTATTTTCTAAAATGCCGAGGTCTTTATCGGTAATCCAGCAACATATGCAAAATAGAGGCGGCTATCTACACTGTATCTTTTGCATATATCGTCGTTAATGAATTGGCTTGATATATTTTATAATATCAAACGATTGTCAGCATTTTGGAAGCGGAAAATACACGGAAGGGAAAACAGAGATCCGTATATTAACTCTTGTAATGTTATTCTTAGAATGACACGTTGTAATAATCTTCGCGTATCCGCTTAGTCACCGAGTGAAAGTTGCGTCCTACTAACAGCTACTTTGGTATGATTTCTAAATGGGTCATTGATGAAAAGGCACAAAACTTAAAATATGCTATTTTTACAACAACTGTAATGGCCTGTGTTGCACCATTTTGTACTCGCGAGTGCATTGAAGCATATGTAGAAATGATATGCGATGACGCATGTACGATGTGAATCTGCCTTCCTGCGTGGTCATCAAATTTTGACGTCGCTGTGAGGAAATCGCTGGGATCGTTGCACAAGCACAATTTGTTTGAAGCACTGCTGATTCAATAGAAATCGGCACATATTATGTGTTATTTGTTTGCCCAAACCGACACATGCGGTGGCGGACTCCAGCTTCAGCATGTAATCGTGTTTTATTGGCCATCGGTCAAGTCAGTGCTCTTTGCCTTTAGTTTTGCGAAACGAAAAATACGCGCTTGAATGGATTGAGCCGAATTGGGATTAAGGATATTTACACATCTCGTATGCCAATTTTCAGCTGGAATTAAGCTATTTTTCCTTTTAGTAATTATTTTGATTCCGTAAATTGCAATATCTTTTGAAATAGACGGATAATATCTTTCCTCTAAGACATTCTTTGGTTAGCCGTCCTTCCGATTTCTAATAATTATCGATGTACACTTTTAAATTGTATTGAATTGATTTTCAGTAACTATTTATCAAAGGTGTATGTCGTAAAAATGTAATGACCGCTCCCAGTGTCAAACTTTTTGCAAGTCGTTGGTTTCGTCGTCGTTAATTTTACCAAATTCAGGTCATCTTGTTTAGCTTTTGCCTTTACTTTGGAACTATAGACTTACATATGTATATCGGTATAAGTATATTTTCTCTCTCTCATATTTCATAACTCATAGGTCTTTTCACAGTCAGTCAGCTAAAGCTTGTAGTAATAATACAAGTAGGTAGAAGATGTTTGTGTTAAATGCTTCATATTTTACCATCATATATACATAATCATTATTATTTTTCCATCATATAAATTTAAATATCATATTATGCATATCAACATATTATTACATATATACCTTTACTATCTTGCAATAAAATAACTGACTAATATAACAACATAGTATAACTAGATGTCATTATGATTTTAAATTGGATGAAAGAAAAAATATTCGTTAGAAATTGGTGCATTACAGGATTCTTTACTTAGATTAGTTAAAAGATTATATGCAATAATAATAATAAAGAATCTCAACTGGAAGGCCCATATAGACAGGACGGTAATTAAAATTAAGAAAACATATACATATAATTGTAACCTTTTCATTGAAGAAAAACCGACCTGAAAAGTCTGCTTATCGGCTTTTTTCGATTTCCATGGGATTCTTTCTTTGCATTTTATTTCATTTCATTCTGATTCTGACTTCTTGGTGACAATGGGACTGTTATGGACTCCTTTGTATAATTTATAAGTAAGTTTTTCTGGTTGTCATTTGTTGACTATGTATTGTGTCAAGTGAAAAGGCGACTTTTATTTGTGGCGTTTTTTCAATTTGTGATAGGTAGCCGACACGAACCCAGAACAGTATCGTCGGCATCAGGGACCACTTCGAGAGTACAACCCTTGCAAACAAAATAAGAATTTTTAAAATCGGTCCACAAATTGACGGAGAAATCGGTAAGTACACTGATATTCCTAAATTTAAATTTTCTTTCAATGTTTTTGTTCTTTGTTGGTACTGAAGTTGGCTGTTTTTTGTTATTTAAAAAAAAACTAGAACTATACTGGATTATGTAACAAATTTATGAATGTACTAAAATGAAATGTAAACCACCTCTCTTTGTGTTCTACCAATCATATTTTATAAGCTTATTGTAATAGACTTAGTTATTATTATTTTTAGGCAACACACTTGACGGACGTAAGGCCTAGCTTCCCATAGTACTAGACACATCGCTGTACATATTTTTCTGTGTTTTGCAATAAATATATTTTTATTTTATTTTTAAAATATTATTATTGATATTGCGTGAATGAGAAAAACATGGTTTGTTTCATCGCGTAGTTGCTTTACTTACGAGTACACTTCCACGCCTAGGTGAAAGGGCACAAGTTACGATAGGTAAAGAAGAGGACCACCCTTTCAAGAATGCCTTAACATACCTATAACAAAACAAGATGAAAAAAGACAGAATTATCAAAATGTTATGTGGAAATTTCAAGCGTTGGACCGTAATAAAGGAGTCGATTATGTTCGACCATTGCTTTGGAATGTATTTTTTTTAACTCGGAAAGAATCTAGCAAATTTCGACTTTGATGCTCTGGCTATAAGATACATTTAAAGACAAGACGAGCAAAGGTATTTGTCCAGGGAGTGATGGCAACAAAAAGTTAGAATGCGTAAAAGAATGTGATGTTCCGTGCTTATGACGTCTTGAGCGACAGGTACCTACCAAACATCCTCTCAAAAAACAGTTTAATGAATATAATATGAGTACATACAAATGTAAAGTACATACTCGTTATATATATATATAATTTCGTAATGTCGTTTTACCACCAGTACTTTGAATACTGTAAATTAATTTAAAATTGGGCAAACATCTCTGTTTTTAATCAATTAAATAAAATTGATAGCTGGTGCTCGGAAAATAATTTTAAGCTATTAAAAAGTGCCCAGGATAAAAATTATACATCATTATCACCGAACAACGGAAGTGGGGAAGTCTACACATCCGGCCCACGAATATTTGGAGGGGAACATTTTGCTTTTAAATGCATTTTTTGTCAGCTTTGCGATTAAGTTAAGTTAAGCTAAATTAATACTACTTACGAGTACATGTAATTAACTTCACGGCGGCCGATTTAGAAGAGGCCACGACTATTACCGCAATTCAAGTGACACAGCAACGTGAATCAGATGCATGTAGAATGTACCGAAGTTTAGTTACCAACAAACAGACACGAGAAACCAAACGTTAAATGGATTCTAGATCGATTGGTCGTCGTTGGTGCAGGCGCAGAGCAATGGACGGATGGGCACGCGACCGTCACGGCTAGCGGCGACTTTTTACACGCACACGCAGTTTAAGCTGAATCGTTGTTATATTGCATCTGCTGTAGCATCGGATTTTTATAATAGGTATACTTTTACGTAAAAATATTTACGTAATTGCTGAAATGCAACACTTCTTTCGGATATAATGGCGTATAATTTAAAAAAATAACTTTACGGACCCTTTACAGATCCCATGGTTACGGATTACTGACAATCAGCCGTGACTATGTTTCACTTCCTTTATGTAACAATCGCGATAACTTAAGACCTTTTATTTTAATGCACACACTCCTAGCCCCGCACTAGGGATACCCTGTATCGCGGGTGCCATGGGCGCACGCATAGACAACCACAAATTATACCCACTCACGAGAGAAATAAATGTAGGCCATACAAATATTTCTCCCGGCTCGAGAAACGAGCTTCGGACTTCTGCGTTACAGACCAGCATGGTAGCAATTCCGCCAGTAAAACTCACAATGAAAATTTGATTATTAGTAATTATCATAATAATATGTACTTTGAAACGTTTAAGAAAGAAAAACATTATGTTTTAACAACTGTCGCTCCTTGTTGTTGTTGATTTATGAAATGCATATAAATGATACGTGATTCTTTTCAAATACAGTAATGCTCCATTACCTCTATAAATCGTTAATAATATACCCTTCAATATATACATTATGCTTATACATTCACTTAAGTAATAAACTTTCAAACAGGCTTTGTAATGTTGTTATCACACGATAGTGCCGGGCGTTGATAGAAAGCTTTCTACGGAAGTCGGAAGCGGCGCATGCATCTCGAAATTTCAGAAATTAATAGAAGAGCCAACTTTTAAAACTATTCGAAGGCAAAGATAGCAAGGCATAGGCTTATGCGTCGAATCAAACTCTTAATTTGGACGAATACAATTTTAGAAAAAGCGTAACAATTTGTGAACATTACAACGTTCGAATAATTTTAAATGTTGGTATATTTGTATCGCCACTTCAGCTAGAATTTGAGATCACGTTAACCCAATGGTGACGCAAATTTTATTCCTTTTTTCATATTACAATGAAATTTGTAATCTATTTAACAAGACCTGTTTATTGATTAAATATGTACAAACCAAATAAATATAGAATAAACAACCCGTGGTCCCCAAGTTCATAATATTAAACAATCGATCTGCAATGAGGTCACTTAAGGTAACGATGTTGCGGGCTAAGCGTTTATACATTTTTACTTAAAATTAATAAATAAACTATTTATTTATCAACGACCAATTTCAAAATATTACATATTTGAGTGAAATAAAAATTATCGCCACATCTCCGAAAATGGTCCGAAGTAAACCGTAACCTTATTGTAGTTTAAAATAACATAAGAACATTTTATGAATGGAATTACCTCGAAGGAGAAAAATGAGGAAGATTGGTATCACATGCGTATCCATGGTAAAAGAGTAGATTGTCACAAGTCCTGAACTAACACAGCACTCGCGGCGCGGTCATGACGCGTGCGTCTCGCGCAGTGATTGACGGTCAACTAAGCTGGTGGAAGCGCGCCAGGTGCGTCGGCGCAGGTAGCAGGTGCGGGGCGCCCTGCCACTGACACTGCCTTCGAGAAAGGTAAAAGCGGAAGCTCTACTAAGATTCGACCGGCGCGTCAACCTAACCTATATATGCTTGTAAGCATTGTAAGAGATATTCTTTTGTGTTATATATTTTGTGTTATATTTTGTGCTATTATTTTCTCAGCTGTTTTGATACAATTTATTTGCTCTGGCGTTGCAAGCTTCAGCACAAGACCTATCCAACCGAGGCTGAGAACGTCTACCGATATGCACTGCCGCAATTAGAATAAAACATTCCATGTCCAATAGTATTACGTCGATAACAGAGGCCGTGGAAGGGAAGGAGGCGTGGAATTCATGTTATCCAATGTTACAATCGGCAGACCTACAGTGACAAGCACGACGCCTTTCAGATAGTCGGTTTTTGAGTTGCACTGAACTCAGAACGGATCAGGAGATGGTCGGATGTTCCTAAGCGAAGGTGACTAGATACCTGAATACCGTTTGAGTGAGACGTGAACAGACCAGAGACATGATTCTCAATTACCGGTATTCTAGTATATCTACTAACTGTATTAGATCGCAGGCCGCGTCAAAGTCGCGAACAGCTCTTTCGACAAAGCCAGCTACGAGTTTTCGAAATAATAGTGGACGTTATTTAAATTTCAAATTTCATTCACAAAAGTGAAAAACTTTTCTCCTCGATTTTTGATCAGCCATTATTAAAGCGGATAAATGGAAGATGAAACGGATTGCCGTAGCCTCGACATGCTCACAGGTATAGACTAGACAAGACCCCGCACTAGAGAACTAGCGACTCTCCTTGACACGTGGGAAGGAGGAGTCTGACCCGTGAGTGGCTGACGGGTTCCACTCTGGGGTTCAACAAAATATATAGGTTTGTAGCACTGGCAGCAGGGTAGGGCTGGAACAGGCTTTCGATCGAATTCTCTATGTAGCAGCGGGTAGCCAGCGGACGACCGTTTCACTGGGTCTCCTTGGCCTTCATTTCAGAGTGGCACGCTCTGCGCAGCAAGATAGGACAACAGGTCTAAGCGAACCGAGAATTGGCGAGATTACCTAAGGCAATCGGGAAGGGGAATTGAAACCGACGGAACACGGTTGGAACAAAACCAAAAGGTGCTTGCAACAGACTCCGTTACTAAGAGCACTCGCCAACCAGTCGAGTCCTATAAAGAGCTCTGTCATGACACTGGGCAATTTTTAGATAAGCCCGACTACCAATGAGTTGCGCTTATCGAATCGATGGGATACACTATAATGCTTGCGATTGTGGTGAAAGATTTTGCCAATCGGCGTAAGGTCGATTATTGCTCAGAGTGTACCAGACACAGGAAACGATTGGTACGTCGTACGAGGAGGCTTCTTTGGTGCACCCCAATTCGTGGATTACACTGGTAATTAATGATATAGGTAATTAATGAAAATTTACAAAAACCTCACTGCTTTAGCCGGAAAAGCACTATGTATGCATTTATAAAATATGCTTATTTGCGTGAAATGTCATGAGCAATTTTGACTAAAGATAATGATATAATGATTTGAAGGAACATAATATTAGGGGTTAAAGTATGAAATTGCCGTTTTATTGCAATAGGTTCTTTGAATTTTCATAGAATCTTCATGGTTTGAGGTTTTCGAATGAAACTTTTTTCAAATGGTTTCTATGATTTTTTTTTTTAAATTTGAAACATTTGAATATCGACTTTCAATTGTTTTTGTTATTCAATTTAGACAAGAAAGATGGATACTGCGAAAATTCGAGTGATTTTTGAATACGAGTTCCGACGCGGAACTAACGCGGCAGAAACAGCCCGCATTATCAATGCTGCGTTTGGAGAGGGGTCTACTAATGAACGCACCGTGCGATTTTGGTTTAAACGCTTTCGTGATGGAAATTTCGACTTAAAGAACGAGCCACGAGGAAGACCGCCCACACAGGTGAATAACGATGAATTAAGAGATATATAATGGAAGCCGATCCTAGTCAAACTACCCAGGAATTAGCGGCATGGTTTAACGTTACCTTACCCACAATATTGACTCACTTGCGTCAAATCAATAAAATAAAAAAATACGAAAAATGGGTGCCTCATGATTTGACTGATCTGCAGAAAGAAACGCGTGTTGAAACTTGTGTTGCCTTGTTGAACCGGTACAGAAATGAAGGAATATTGGATCGAATTGTAACATGTGATGAAAAGTGGATTCTTTATGATAACCGGAAAAGAAAAATGCAATGGCTGACCCCAGGTCAAATGCCACAACAGTGTCCTAAAGCAAAACTTACCAATAAAAAGGTAATGGTAACTGTTTGGTGGTCTCAGCATGGTGTTATTCACTATAGTTTTCTCCGATCTGGTCAAGCAATAACGGCAGATGTCTATTGTGCCGAACTCCGAACCATGTTGACAAAACTAGCAGTAAAACAGCCCCGACTCATGAATCGATCTTCACCATTATTGCTCCACGACAACGCGAGACCTCACACAGCACGAGAAACCATTTTGACCCTTCAGGAACTGCCGTTAGAAACCATTCGTCATCCTCCGTATTCACCAGACCTTGCTCCAACGGACTACCATTTTTTTCGTGATTTGGATAATTATCTACGTGACAAGAAGTTTTCTTCCCAGGAGGCAGTACAAAATGCTTTCACACAGTTTGTGCAGTCTAGATCGTCGGAGTTCTATCGTAAAGGCATTAATAACCTTCCCATTAGATGGCAGCAATGTATAGATAATAATGGCAACTATTTTGATTAAATAAATTTGTTAAAAATTTAAAAAATAAACAATTTAGATTTTCAGTACAAATCGGCAATTTCATACTTTAACCCCTATTA